GAACCTGGGGCAGGCGACGACCGTGAACCTGGGGCAGGCGACGACCGTGAACCTGGGGCAGGCGATGACCGTGAACCTGGGGCAGGCGACGACGGGGAACCTGGGGGAGGTGACGACGGTGAACCTAGATCCCAGTGGCGTGAAATGGGTTCAGGACAGAGGCGACACAGGCACGCTCCTGCCCCCAGCACGCGGACATCCAGGCAAGTGGACGCTGAGTGCCCTCTCTTCAAAGCAGGTGGCCCTGAGCTTGGTCTGCCTGTGGTGGCTGCCCTGGGCATTGGTGTGGCCACAGAGTGCTGGGGCTCCAGGCTGAAAGTCCTGAGTCTGAACAGAGGTTTTCACTGAGGAAGTTACTAAGCCTGTGATGTCAAACGTGCCAGGATTTGTTTTTCAAATGAAAGTGATGAAGCTGCTGTGCCGGCCAGCCTTCCCCAGCTGGGCGGGTCCCTGGGGGTGGGACCGAGCTCTTGACTCACTGAGGTGTCTGGCTCTGCTCGGACACCTGCACTCGGTGTCAGCTCTGTAACCTCCCCCGGAAGCTTCCAGATTCGTTCCTCAAGTGGACATACTTTTTCCTGAGTTTGTCATGAGGCTTCATTAACTCATGTCTCTCTCTCTTTTCTTTCAGTCTGCAACTGTGTCTGATGGTGGTAAGTCACAATTTCTGATGTCTCTTTTTATTGTTTTTCATGAAGTTTTGACATTGTAGAAGTGTGTGTGCCACTCGACCCACTCAGGAATGGTGTCTCCTGCCTTCCTCCCTTCTTCCCGGGGGCCGGGCTGCTCATCAGGGCCTATTCTCTCTGAGTTTCTGGCCGCTCCAGGTGGGCCCAGTGTGTGTTTGGGAAGCTGTTCACCGCACAGAAATGTTGGAAACCTGAACTTGGGTGCGATAAGACATCTGTGGCCACTTTGGTGTCACTGCTGTTTGCTTGAGCTGCAGTCTCTCACCTCACATACCTGTGTGACAAGTTCAAACAGATTTCTGCTGCCCGTTGTTGTATAACCAGCTTGAAACGAGCAAGTTACAAATGAGCTCAAAGCTGATTTAGAGCAATTCTGGAAATTCAGGTGAGACTTTTAGTTGCTGAACTTCCTTTTCTGAGGAAAGATAAAGTAGACGGATTAGAGTTTGGGGGTGAACCTGAATCAAAACCTTTCTTATTGTCCTCAATTAATTTTACCTAGGGGAATGCTTTTAATGGGACTGAGCCAAAAGGGAAACTGCCAGAGATGTCTTATTTCACCTAAGAGTTCTCTGATGCAATCCTAATCATTTTACTTCAGTGATTTTTTTTTTTTTTTTTAACTAGGACAGAGTTTCTTGTAAATGTTCCATTTGTTATAATACTCATAAAAGTTGTTATGCTCAAAGTCGTGCTTTTACATATTTTTAGTTGACCCTTCTGTCTTTGAGAGTTGAATTACATAATTCATCAAAGGTATTGAACTTTATTTTCATGAAGTATGGTTGTGGTGGATCTGAAGTCAAGATAATGGAAGCAGAAGGTGCCAGGGCCGGGCAGGGAGGAGACGCGGGTGGCCTTGTGGCCTGTAAGTTGAAGAGAAGCTCGGTGGAGCCTCTTTCTGTCGCCCGTGACTGCTGACTGCAGGCAGTCCTTGGCATTAGAAGGGTTGCTTCTAAACGGCGAGAAGGTCAGTCCTTCCAGCGAGGAGGCCGCCCACTGCTGACTGGGGCCCCTGCCTGGGTCACCACGTGGGAAGTGCGCGAAGCACGCCTCGCATTACAGACGTACTAATCCCTGGCGCTGGACCCTGGGAGCCTGGAGTGCTATGGGCTTCTTCGCTTGTATAAAAGGAATTACGTTACCTAGTTTATGTACAGAGATGATCATGTTTTTTAATCTGGGGGTGGGAAAATTCCCTTCAGGAAGAGAAACAGGACCTGTAACCAAGTCTGGGGTAAAGGTGCGTGGTGTTTATAACATTCTGCTCGGGTGCACTGTTTCCTCTGGGTTCTGGCGGATGTTTTCCTGGTAGAAGGCATTCATTTCTGTAGGACGTTTCTGAATTTGAGAGGTTTATTTGCTATGTTCAATTTAATCGTGGTTATTAGTATTTATTCATCTCTAAAATCTGTCTCCGGTCGGCAATAGGTGTAGGAACCCCCAGGAGTTTCATTACTGTGTAGGTCACTTTACAATTTTTCAAAAAGCTGAATTTCCTGAGTGTGGGCAGTCCTGACTCACTCCCCCACACTGGGCCCCCAACTCCCTTGCATCCTGTCTGTGGGAAGTGGTGTCCTGGCTGGGCATGGGTCCCCAGCCCCAGTGGTCCCCACTTCTCTCTCCCCACCAGGGGTGGACGCCCCTTCTCGCTCCAGAGACCCTCTGTGGCAGGAGGAGGAGGGAGGGAAGAACTCACTCTTTCTTTCAGGAATGTTCACTGAATTTCAGGAGCTGTGCTAGACAGCTTGTATGTGTTTTATTTATTCACTTTTCTCTGCTTTTTCTTATTTTGCCGTCTTCACTCTCTATTCTGATCGTAACAGTAAAAACAAACCCGAAAAACCAAACCCGTTGCCTTCAAGTCGATTCCAACTCACAGTGACCCTGTAACACAGAGTAGAACTGCCTCACAGGGTTTCCAAGGAGCAGCTGATGGATTCGAACCACTGACCCTTTGGTTAGCAGCTGAGCTCTTAACCACTGCACCACCAGGGCTCCAAGAGTAAAAACAAGTGACCCCGTTTAATCTGCGAGTCAGTTCTAGGAGGCACGTGTTACATCTGGCCATTCATGTAGGGACTAAGTGACTGGGACTCAGGCCTCAAGGTCTGTCTGAGCTCCCTGCTGCGCACTCCCCACCCAACCCCGTGACTCAGGAGTTCAGGCTCCACTCAGGACCCTCCAGTTCCCACAGCCCCTGCCCGCCCTCTCTTCCGACTCCTGCTTCCCTGGGACGTGCTGGGCTCCCCTGCCCGAGCTAAGAGAGGAGACCCCCTGCCCTGCCTGTCTCCACAGCAGGGGACAGGGCTGTCAGGACCCAGGCAGAGACTTGGAATGTGCTTCCACGCAGAGCTGTGTTTATGTTCTGTGGTCGGCCCATCAGCAGCTAGGGCGTCCCGCAGTCTGGCCTGGGAACTCCAGCCACACGCTGTTTCTATGGGAAAAATGCAGTGCGCCTTCCAGGCTGAGACTCAGAAGCCAGCTTTGGAGAGCAACCTGTCCCCAGGCTGGGGACAGTCCCCTCATCTCCAGGCTGGCTTTGGTAGCTCAGCAGTGAGGGGCCGTGACCCAGACACAGCTTATATGCAGGTAACCACCCGTGAGGCCCCCGCTCCAGCCCTTACTCCAGCCCCCCGACTTCCGCACGTCCCGTCTGTGGGAAGTGGTGCCCTGGCCAGTCGGTGGGTGCTGGACTCACTGAGACTCGTATTCCACGTCACATATTGTTGTTTTATCATGTATATTGTTGTACGTATGTTGTTGTTAGCTGCTGTCGAGTCGGTTCCGACTCGTAGCGACCTTGTGCTCAACAGAACGAAACCCTGCCTGGTCCTGCGCCATCCTCACAATCATTCACAATCGTTGCTATGTGTGAACCCATTGTTGTAGCCTCTGTGTCAGTCCATCTCTTTGAGGGTCTTCCTCTTTTTTGCTGACCCTCTACCTTACCAAGCGTGTATGTATACAACGTCTCATATATACATAGAGCCAAGTTTTGTGGCTTTATTTCAAGGAAGTCGGACATGCTGTTTTTGTCATTTTTGTCAACTTGCAGTTTACTTTTTCACTTTCTGAGAGGGAGGGGGCCCTTAATGACACCCCCCGCCCCCGCAGCCAAAGTGGGTCCCGAGAGAGGAGAGTGAGCGATTCAGCCTGAGGGGCAGACCAGCCCCGGGCTGAGATACAGGGACAGTTTCTGGCTCAGGAAAAGGAAGCGCTTTCTAGAAGTTAGGGAGAGGTCTGCCTTATAGGAAACCAGTCAAACAGTTACGCAAACAGTAGCTTGGGGTCAGCCTGCAGAAAAAGCTGGCAGCCATCAGTGCTGACCTCCAAGTGGTTGGTGGACGAGAAACCCACCCGATGCTCTGGTTCTGGGGTTGGCTTGCAGAAAGAGCTGGCAGCCATCAGCGCTGACCTCCCAGTTGCTGGTGGATGAGAGTACCCCCTGATGCTCTGGTTCTGGGGTTGGCCTGCAGAAAGAGCTGGCAGCAACCAGTGCTGACCTCCCAGTTGTTGACGGGAGAGACCCTCCCCGCCCGCTCCACCGATAATTTGGTTCTGTGGTTGTCACCGCGCAGCTCCATCATGACAGAAGCTCGTTCTCACATTTTATTTGTTTTCTTCTTCTCTGTACCACCTGCCCCTCTCACCTGACCTTAGAGGGTGCAGTGTTTTCGGTCATTACTGGGCCAGTCTTTGGAAGTGGAGAGTGAGACTCCACTTGAGAAATGCTTCTGTGAACGCCCTGTCCACACGTGCACGCTGGGCTGTGGTCATGGGTAGAGTCAGAGTGTGAACTTGGCCGGTCTACGTGACACGTCCACTTTGGCTGCTTCGTGAACACTCCAAACTTAACGAGTCCATCCCAGCTCTCAGACCCCTCCCAGGGTCGTCCCCAACCCCTGTAAAGGTATAGCCAGCACCCCCCACCTCTGATGGCAGAAGCCTAGGAGCCACCCGACCGAGGCGCTGGCTTGCTTAGTAGGCCCCCCACTTGTAGCCCTCCCCACCTCTGCTGGCCCTGCCACGTGACCGCCCGTCCTCTTCCCGCTCTCTCTTAAACGCCCGCCCCTGCGCAGAGGGTGTCATTGCAGCCATCTGCTTACGATTCACACTGGTCACATGCTCCACCTGCTAGTAGCCGTCTGTGGGTTTCTGTGGCCCTCAGAACAAGTCACACACCCTCTCACAGCTGGCCACTCCCAGCCAGCCTCGCCTTACATGCCCCGTTTGCCCCCTGTGGTCCCCACCCAGTCCCCAGGGCTCCCAGGCCCCCGAGGGGCATATGTAGGGGTGTTGCAGGGCACTGTACCCACTCTGGGTAACCCTAACCCTAATCCAGCTCCCCATGTGACTGGCCCCTGTGCAGGTGTGTACCCTTCCCTCTCTGAGGGAATGTATCTGTTTACTCTTGGGGAAAAAACAAACTGTCAGACTTCCGGCAAAATGGCACTCTAGGCAGAAGCACCACCCCGTCCCTCCACAGCAAAGATCCGAAAAACTAAGCCAAACAGAGAACACAACAACAACAATCCTGAAACCCTAAAACATCAAATGAAGAGATGAAGAACTCAGCCAAGCACCAAATGGAGTGAGAAAACTGACGGAGAACGGAGAGCAAGGAGAGATTCATGAAGAGGTCCCCTACCAGCTAACGCAGTGCGGATCCGCCATCTTGGACTCCTGTTGGAGACCAGCAAACGGGGTACGAGAAAGCAGCTTCACGAAGCTTCCAGCGGGAGACAGAACAACCGGTAATTTGCGATATACGCTTTCCCACCCCCCACCCTTCTTCACCTGCACTTGGCCTCCTCTGCTTCCTGCGGCCACAATCTCTTGTCTGGGAAATACTGGCTGCTTGGATTCCACACACCTGAAAGGGCCGGCTCTCTGAGTGCCATTTGTTGGCTGCTGGTGTTGCTTTTTTCCACTTCTTTTGAATTCTTCCTTACCTCTCACCA